CGTGTATCGACAGAAGGCGAGAAGAGAAAATTTACATACTTAAGTACTAATAGTTCACGAAAATAATAATTTTCATGAACTATTATTAGTTAAGTATGTAAAAATTTATTACATTTCCTTTTGTACAAGGGTTTTACACAATTCTTGAACCATGTCAGAGTGAATCCGTGCTATAAAAGTACCGTGTTATACGGGGGATGGTACCAATTCTCGAACCGTGTTAGAGCGAATCCGTGCTATAGAAGTGCCGTGTTATATGGGGGTTACCTGTATTACTAGACAAATGTACAAATAATAGCCACAAATTTAAAATATATTTAATATACATAGATTTATAATAACTCATTGTGACTTATCCTAGTAAATTATTTATTGGTAAACAATGACACAGTTTGCAGTTTTTTTTAATTTAAAATTTAAGAAATTTATAAAGTATTTAAATTTATATGTATTTAATTATGGATAAATGTTACTAACATTTTTTTGTCTATTATTTATTTTCTGTTTCATTTAATTAATTCCTAACTATTCACTAAACTTTTTTCAAATGCTCTTTGTTCCTTATCTTATTATCTAAAATAATTGAATACAAAATTACTCAATAAATATTGTAAATTAAATTATATTTTACTTCTTCTGTAATTTAATATTAATTAAGAACAATATCAGAAAAGTGTGTTTTAGTTTTATTACATATTTATTTTTGAATAAAAAAGAAAATTAATATAAATAAAATTAAATATTTTTATTTCACAATAAAAATTTAGTCAAAAAAAATCATTAAATTCTTATAACTGAAATAGATTATGTTATCTTTTGGATGCTTTATCTGAAAAAAAGCTTATTAGATATACTTTATTATGTTGCAAAATGGATAAATAGGATATAATCTGTTATACAAAAAAATTATAAAGTATATCACAATCATCATAATAGATGAAAAACTTTTGATTTTGACTGTTCTGAAATAAATAATTATCACAAAATTAGAACATTTTTACTACAGAAAATAGTTGAATCAAAAAGTTAAGATGAAAATAAATGTCTCAAACATATTACCTTGAACTAGTCAAATTGTGTAGGATGATTGGAATCATGCTTCTTTTTGAAATTCTAATATTTCCATATATTGTATATTTTAGAAAAAATAAAATTTGCTTTTTAGATATAAAATATGAATATAAACCACATAAGTAAATCACTTGATGTCACATTTTTAAAATATTCTATCATGCTATTGCAGTATACAAACATTAAATTCCAACATTTGTTTATTAATTATTTATATATAAATCTCAAATCAATAATCACTTTTAATAATAATAATCATCTTATATTCTATATTTTGATTTAATATATGTCAAATATCATTATTCAAAAAGTCAACTGCTTACATGACTATGCTTGATTGTTTATAAAAAAAATTCTGTCCATAAAAGATTTAAGCAATGTAAATAATTTTAACATCAACAGTATTACATATCAGAAATATCCTCAACTAGATACATGTTTAATAAAACTACATTCTAGTATAAAGTGCACAGAAGTAATTATTAGTTCATAAATATACACTTTCTAAATACATATTAATTTGAAAATATATAAAAATTAATCAATAAACAGAGCTGTTTAATTCTGAAAATTCTATAAATTAAAATTTTTAAATATTTTTTGTCATCATCTGAGATTTTGAATATTAGGCTATGTTCAAACTGGTTGGTTTAACAAAGCAAAGTTGTATGGGCACTTGTATTGCTAAGTTAATATTAAACAATGCTGATTTACAATCTAATATATGAAGATTTCTTCATAAACTATTTTTATATACAGTAATACCCCAAACTTATGTGATAGGTGGGACTGAGCAATAACCACGTAAGTCAAAATTGCATAAGTCGGGGTATAATTTCGCAATTTGTGTAAAATCCAAGTTGGATGTATGTAAGTTAATAAATGTTCTCGTTATTCTTATCTCATCTTTTGATTCATTTACAGTTACAAGAAATCACCACATAGTCTCACTAAAGTCTCTATAGATATAACAAACACAGAAATAAATAACACAATAAATTGTAGCTATGTGTCGATTCCGCACGACACGTCCGAACATGTAAGCTGAACAATAGTGTGGGGGGAGTGAGTAATCAAGAGTTGCGTGGCACTCAAACAAAAGACGAATCGATGAGATTTGAAAATCACATAACTCCAGGTTCGCATAAGTCAAGGTATTACTGTATATTATTGAAATAATCTAACATAAATGTTTTTATAGAATGTATATTCTATTAAAAAAGTCCTTTTATATTAAGGCCACATATGTTATAAAATATTATACTGAAGTTTAGTTAAGTTTGTGTTTGATCATTTAAATCCCTGTAAATGTATGTATACTATACACATGCATTCTATATATAGCATTTCAAACATTTGGAATTTTCTGTTTGAACTAAAGTTGTAAACCAGAAGATGATCACTAAAAACAAAAAAAATTGCTTGTTTTTTCATCAAATTTTTACCGATATTTATCAGTAATTATTTAATTTGAGCTTTTTTACATAGCATTTTTTTAGATTCACATCTGCAATAATTTGATTTACATTCTGCAAACAGATTTTTATTTGTGTAAATATTCAGAAAGACACACTGAAAATTATTTGGTTTTAAGTTACAATAATAATGACATATTAACTTTATAATGCAAAAATTGTTTCATCAGAATATAAAATTTTATTCTTTCTGTTGGATAAAAATTAATTATGGAAAATTATATATATTATATACAGGTAACCCCCGTGTAACACGGCAGTTACGTTCCAAAAAATTGCCGTGTTATGCGAATCCGTGTTATACGAAACAAAGAACTAATACGAAAAGGAGGGTTAGGTTCCAAAAATTAAAAAACATGCTACTATATTTTTATAATTAAGATAAATATCTTCATTAAAATTTTTTAAGTGATACATATTAATATAAATTAAACAATATTTTCTTCGTCATCACTAAAAACACTATTAATTAACCGAGAGCGTTTTCTTTTTGGCAAGTTATCCTTATCCTCTGAGCATTTTTCTGCATTATCTTCAGATCCATGCTTTACCTTTTGCAAAATGTATGTAATTTTAGATTGCTTGCTTCTAGTTAAAAGGTCTTTATAAATTTCCTTATATGGTGCTAAGCACTTATGAAGAATAAAGCAAGTATGGAATAAGGGAAAAACATTCGGCAACATCAGAAGCAGAAGCGTCGCGATCTGGCAACATTGAAACAAGTTTCGAGAAGGACCACCTGTATCGACAGAAGGTGAGAAGAGAAAATTTACATACTTAAGTACTAATAGTTCACGAAAATAATAATTTTCATGAACTATTATTAGTTAAGTATGTAAAAATTTATTACATTTCCTTTTGTACAAGGGTTTTACACAATTCTTGAACCATGTCAGAGTGAATCCGTGCTATAAAAGTACCGTGTTATACGGGGGATGGTACCAATTCTCGAACCGTGTTAGAGCGAATCCGTGCTATAGAAGTGCCGTGTTATATGGGGGTTACCTGTATTACTAGACAAATGTACAAATAATAGCCACAAATTTAAAATATATTTAATATACATAGATTTATAATAACTCATTGTGACTTATCCTAGTAAATTATTTATTGGTAAACAATGACACAGTTTGCAGTTTTTTTTAATTTAAAATTTAAGAAATTTATAAAGTATTTAAATTTATATGTATTTAATTATGGATAAATGTTACTAACATTTTTTTGTCTATTATTTATTTTCTGTTTCATTTAATTAATTCCTAACTATTCACTAAACTTTTTTCAAATGCTCTTTGTTCCTTATCTTATTATCTAAAATAATTGAATACAAAATTACTCAATAAATATTGTAAATTAAATTATATTTTACTTCTTCTGTAATTTAATATTAATTAAGAACAATATCAGAAAAGTGTGTTTTAGTTTTATTACATATTTATTTTTGAATAAAAAAGAAAATTAATATAAATAAAATTAAATATTTTTATTTCACAATAAAAATTTAGTCAAAAAAAATCATTAAATTCTTATAACTGAAATAGATTATGTTATCTTTTGGATGCTTTATCTGAAAAAAAGCTTATTAGATATACTTTATTATGTTGCAAAATGGATAAATAGGATATAATCTGTTATACAAAAAAATTATAAAGTATATCACAATCATCATAATAGATGAAAAACTTTTGATTTTGACTGTTCTGAAATAAATAATTATCACAAAATTAGAACATTTTTACTACAGAAAATAGTTGAATCAAAAAGTTAAGATGAAAATAAATGTCTCAAACATATTACCTTGAACTAGTCAAATTGTGTAGGATGATTGGAATCATGCTTCTTTTTGAAATTCTAATATTTCCATATATTGTATATTTTAGAAAAAATAAAATTTGCTTTTTAGATATAAAATATGAATATAAACCACATAAGTAAATCACTTGATGTCACATTTTTAAAATATTCTATCATGCTATTGCAGTATACAAACATTAAATTCCAACATTTGTTTATTAATTATTTATATATAAATCTCAAATCAATAATCACTTTTAATAATAATAATCATCTTATATTCTATATTTTGATTTAATATATGTCAAATATCATTATTCAAAAAGTCAACTGCTTACATGACTATGCTTGATTGTTTATAAAAAAAATTCTGTCCATAAAAGATTTAAGCAATGTAAATAATTTTAACATCAACAGTATTACATATCAGAAATATCCTCAACTAGATACATGTTTAATAAAACTACATTCTAGTATAAAGTGCACAGAAGTAATTATTAGTTCATAAATATACACTTTCTAAATACATATTAATTTGAAAATATATAAAAATTTAATTAAAATAAACCAAACCGAGCAATGATCATCTTTAAATTATTTAAAATAAAAGCTAAGGCAAGCAAACTATTTACTAATGAGTCAAAAATTAGCAATGTTAATAGATAGAGAGGAAAATAAACAGAATATAAAAATAACAATGGAGAAAATATTGTTAGTTTGATAGTACCTTCGGTGAGATTGAAATTTTCCAGTAACATGTCCTGAACCATCGCATCCAGGTATAGGGCAGCTAAGATGGATAGATAAGTAATGTTAGAAAGACTGTAATGGTTAAAAAATATTTATGAAGAGCAAGGCCAATATTACACATCTACAAAATATTAAGTTACTGAATACAATTAATGCTACAGAAAGCTTTTACTAAAAAGCTGAAAATTCTCTATTTATGAGCCTTAATTTTTTTATATCAAGAAACCAGCATTCTAAACTTAAATAAATCTTGTATGTCAATTCAAATAAACTTAAAGGAAAATAATTTGAGATTAAATCAGAAACTAATTTGAGATTGATACCAATTTTATGAATATTTTATAAATGATATTTTCCATTTATTTAATTTTATAGTAAACAAATAGATTCTTTATACATATCTATTTGAGTGATACAGGTAAATACATAAGAGGAGGAAAGTTTAAGAATTTTTAAATTAGTTTAATGTTAGTTTTTGTCTTTTAAAATTCCTCAAAAAGAAACAATAATAAAATATAGTAAAAGTGTGTATCCTAATTTAGAATACTATATATTATTTTTGTAATTTGAAACTTCTATAATGACTTTTATTGTATAAATATACTATACTGTACATAAAATTCTTAGAGTGATTTTAATTCAATTGAAAGTCTAATTAGATGATTTAATTACAAGACCCAAAATAAAATTGTTCTGAAATTTTAAAATCGATTTATATATAATGAGCCGTTTATATTTTTTAAAGATATATTCGATATTATTTAACGTAAAAATGTCATCTATAAATTTTTATTCATAAAAAAAGTAATTTTATTGTAATATTTTCACATGGATGCTTGATATAAAATAACTAAACAAAGCCTTAATAAACAACAAACTACTAATAATTTAATATGAAGTACTAAAAACAAAACCAAAAAAACGATTTTCTAAAGACGACACCATGCAATATCATTTCGTACAAGAGGAAAAAAAAACTGAAAAAAGAAACAAACAACAATTAGTGAAGGTAAATCTTATTTCGTAAACAAAAACAAGAAAGGAAAATCGAAAACAATTAAATAGAATGAGTAATTTACAACTTGCAAAATTCATCTGAAAAATACATACAAAAAGTTTGTGTTTATTTTCATTTATTTCTAATTTTAAAAAATGAAAAAAAGAAAACTTAAATTTGAAGACGGAATTGATTAAATTCAATAATATTTCGCACGAATAATGAAAATTAAAAAAAAAAAGAAGAAAAGTAGTATATGCCAATATGAGGAAAGGATGATAATAAATGTTCTTTGCGCTTTCTTTCAAATCGTAACAATAACTGACTTTTAAGTCGTAAGAGACAAATTACTGTTATAAGAGTCATGCAGTCACGTGCTGTCATGCATATATATACATATAAAGTATAGCATTAAGTAATGCACAAATCAAAAGGAGAAAAAAAACTTTTTAACTTCGACTTTTCGCGTTACTTACCGCAACGGTTCCGATTCCGATTTGTCTTCTCTTCCGAGTAATTTTTTCGGTTTGTTAGCTCGCGGACATCCCGACAGACTTCGGTGCGAAGAATAATTACCGGTCACGTGACCAGAACCGTCACATCCGGGTGTCGGACACCTGGCGGGAGAAAAACAGAAGAAAGAAGAGTGTGATGATGATAAACTGACGCCATGTCCATTTTTCGAAAAATATTTTATATTTTTCCCTTTATTTAAAATTTTAATTAAGGAATATAAAGAAAATTTTAAATTAACAATTTACGGAAAAATGTTTTGATAGTAATTAGTCTTTTTTTTTCCTCCTATAAATTAAGTGTTGAAAATTAATAAGATAATCTACTAAACCTTTAATAATTGTAAATGAATATTTTAACGATGTCATAGTAGACTGAAAAATACGAAAACCATCTGAATCAATAATAAAAGTATTTTTGAATTTAAAACATTTATTTGCTACTATTCATTACGAGCCGCTTACAATAGCCAGGAAGCGAATTCTGCTTCCATCAGGAGGAGTTTGGTTCGATTTTCAGTTGTAGCAAGCACACTTTGAATTTCCTCCTCCTTAAAATCTAGAGTGAAAAGGAATTAACGAAAAAAAATTTTTATTATATTATAACATAAAAGAAAAACAATGAAAACTAATAAAATATTATTTCTCATCCATCTTTTACTATCTGCGTGAAAACATTTTATGATATACAGATTGATAACTTGAAATAATGAGAAAACAATAGAAACAGTACTTAAAAGTAAACGACTAACGATGTAGGCATGCTATTATTTGATTATGTGGTGTTTAATGTATTATTTTAAGAATTAAAGATCAACAGGTTAAAAACTTTTCGGGATTTGCTAAAATGGAAAAGCATTTATACTTAGTTCTATAATAATTGACAACGAAACAAAATATTGAAAAATTACAAAACGAAAGAAATGAATTAACATCTCTTCAACCATAATGCAAAATTTTATGATTAAGTCTGAATACAACAACGAATCTAAATTTATGTAACGCATTAACCCAATGACATACAGAGAGACCATTCGCTGAAATTACAGCATTCTCAATGAAAAAACATTAAAAAAAGCTTTGCAAGTTTAGCACTAACGTTTTCTAATATTAAGTAAAATATTATTTATAATTTTATTTTATTATTCATAATTTTAAAATATGTTAATCTTGGCTCAGTGTGATAATTTCATTTGGACAAATACCGGTATAATTTTCATACAATTTAAAATAAGAAATGAAAGTGATGTAATTACTACAAGTTTATTAAATTTTTTACATAAAAATTTAAATTATTTAATTTAACACAGAGTTCTCAAACTAGCAGAGTTTAAGAATTTTGTTAAATTGTTTCTAGAAATTAAAAGTATAATATATATTAGTTTATTTTTCGAATTTCAAGAGAAATATAGGCCTATGATTATGAAAACATCATATTAGTAAATTTAAACCTTTTTGAGATTTATATCCTAAAAATAACAGAATAACGATTACGCTCGATTTAAAATTAAGCTTAAAAAAGTTTATTTCACAATAAAAGTTTAACCGAACATTAACCAATTAATTAAATTACGAATTTATTCAAGGGAAAAAATGAAGAGTGAAAAGTATAGATATAATCATTATCTATAATTTTATCGGCTTTCCAGCTAATAAGGTATGCGTTAAAATATATCTAAGATAATTTAATTACTCCGATCCGTAAGCAGAATTTGTGACCAAAAAAATTTAGATCTTGGAAACTCAAGTGCATTTTTTCATAAGTTTTAAAAATTAACAATTATTTTTAATGAAATTTCGTTATACGTTTCTTAAATTTGTAAAAACCATAGCAAAAACAATGAAATTCTTATACGAAACATCGAAGAATTTTCTAAGTTATTGTTATGAAGTTCAAAATAATACTGTTCAGAGGAACTAACACGAAACTAGTTATCTTTCGATTATCAATAAATTAAAGTAAACAGATATATCGAAATTATAAATTATTGTTCAAATTATTTTAATTGTTATTAAATTAAATATAAACTGGTATACATAAAGAGCCTCGGCTTCTATCAACAAACAGAAAAGAGATCTGATGGAATGCGGAGGATCAAAACTTCCATTATAAACAGAAAAGAGCAATGATTTTGGAGAATACTATATCGGCGTCGAATTATTTTGTCATTTATCCTTGAAACAGAATGCAAATGTGGTGATTTACAAATTGGAAGTAGAGATAATAGGGATGATCTCAATCATTAGAATCATTGTAATCTAAATGTAAAATTCACAGTACAGAAAACCTTAGCATGCAATTTATGGTCCCGGGGTCGATCATTTCCCTTCCATCAAGTAATCCCTTCAATTATTCGACGGAAGAGAGAAAGCACCTAAGTGAGCAAAGTCACCCCGGTGCGTTGATAGGAGTCAAAATGGATAGAAAGCATTCTTCGCGTTAATTAATTTGTATTCACCCCGAGCCATACATCATTCCAAGAGGTTCTCGTCATTCATAATCATAACGGCCTTGCGTTCGACTTGTTGCCATAGCCAATCTCTTTAAATTGCAATAATGTCGAACATCAACCTCTCCAATTCTTTCACGCGGAAAAAAATAACGATTAAAAAAAAATAATAATAATAATGGTGAGAAGTTATACAAAATAAATGAGATTTGTATACTTTGTAATTCATATAAATATATTTTAATTTAACGTTAAACATCAATACTGTATCCGATTTACGTACAACGTATTAAGGTAAGTAATTAAGAATTATAGTTTGTTTTTAAATTTTATTTCAGCTTTCATAATAATCGTTTTCCTTAAAATATAGTAATAAAAACGTTTAAACTTAGAACATTTTCGTGTTTCAATGCGTTAAACAATGTATCTAAGACAGTATATTAAACTATTATAATATACATAATAAATTTTTTTAAAGAAAGGTAAAAAAGCTAATTATTTAAAAAGTAGGCGATACATATTTTTTAAAAGAAAAGATAGCATAAATAATTAAATGATGATAAAAGCACCATACTTTTATTCAAATACGATTCAAACTTTCTGCCGCTAGGTGGCGACACTATTCTATCCGAAAACGATAAACGAGATGAAGATGAGAATCAGATTGGATACAGAGGATTATAACGGCTTTATATATATATAAAGAGGAAAAGACAGGATGGATGCCGAAAATCTTAATCATCATAATAAATAAAGAATACTAAGAAGAATAAAATTGGATGACACCAGGAATAGATTTTTTTTTAACTCTTTCCGCCTTGTGGGCACTAAGAGGGCCTCTTTTTGCAAGCCCATTATGGGCTTGCAAAAAGCCCATAATGGGGCGACCCGGCCAGGCCCACAATGGGGCGACCGGGTGGTGAGGGACGGGACGGGACCCGACATATCCGAACGGACCACCCCCTAAAAATTCCTGGGGATTTTTCGACCCGTTCGGATTCGAGCCCGGGTCCCCCAGAGCGGTAGGCTGTCACCTTGACCACTCGGCCATCCGGCCGCTACCAGGAATAGTTGTGGTGCAGAAGAACAGTTTCTAAAGTAAACAGAAAAGTGAACGATTGAGTGGGATTTGGGGGCTACAGTAAACAGAAAATGCAGGTATGTGCGTTTTATGTATACCATCGATTAAATTATCTGGTTTAGATATATCACAGAATTTTGATATTGGGCTGATCATTTCAATAAACTATAAATAAAAATATTCATGTACTAATAGAGATTAAGATTTATATACAAGAGCTTCTGTCCTAAAAGTAAGTAATATATACAAAGAATGCAGGGACATGTACAGAAAAGGGATCAGGTTGAGAGGCATAAATGATAAATGAATAGTTATAACTTAAGGACAAAGATCAAATGGGATATAAAGGATACAAAGAATTTTAACTTAAATGAAAAAAATGCATAAAGTATTTTATAATATAATGGAAAAAGAGGAGAATTGGATAAAATATATGAATCACAGTATCTATCTATCGTAAATGAAAAACAGAAAAGAAAACTGTATGAAATGCAAATCATAACTACCATTTGCGGATAAAGAAGAACAAACGCGAAAAGAGAGACTACAATTTTTACCGTAAACAAAAAAAAAAATAAAAAAATGAAGATCAGATGATGCTATCCAGAAGAGCACAGTTTCCATCACAAAAAAAAAAAAAAAAAAAAAAAACAGAAAGAGCGTATGTTATATCTACTCTAAAAATAAAAGGGGGAGAAATTAGAATTACTTCTCATACCAAAGGCCAATTAATTCAAGACGGATGAGAAAGTCCACAAATTCGATAAGATATCGATTTTTGGATCTAATTGAAGACGTTATCCAAAGCCATTCGATCGTCTTCGACAAAAAGTCCTTTATCTTTTTTCTTTAAGAGAAAAGCAGAACAAAAAAATTCAATTTTTAAAACTCCTGTTTGAGTTTTAGAAAGAAAGAATTAAGCATGGTGATATCTATAAGTTTCAATTTACAACCCGTCAGAGTATTCGTGAATTTTCCATAGGATTGTTTTACAGATACTGCTCGATTTTCGTCTTTAAAATCAAAAAGAAATGATAGAAAGCTTCATAATAGACCGGAAAGGACCACTCGTTACCTATAAATGGAATCACAAAGCAACAAAATACGAATAGAAATTATTCTATCTTTTTTTCAATTGTAAAAATTTTCTCTCATACTATAGAAGCATGTTAACTCTTAAATGAACAAAAAGTATCGCTAAATATGTCTTATGTAATTTAAATTATAAGCTATAATTTTGTAGTGATTATATAAAGATACAAGTTCGATTTTTTCTAAAAATTCTGGAATTTTCCTATAAATTGTTATCATAGGTAAAGCAAGTTTTATTAAAATAATATATTTAATATTTGAATTAATAAAAATAATAATTAACAGAAGGTAGAAATAAGTTAAAGTTAGCTCTATTTAATTATTTTTTATACCAAAAAAAAGTACGACTTTGTGCAGAATACGCGAGTGAATACTCTGTCTCTCCCTCTCTCCCTCTCGATTCCGGGAAATAATTATTCGTGTGGAAATTTAAAAGTAGCATAGATTTGAAGAAATTTGCATCTTTTGATAATCGCGATCCATCTTATGCTAATTTGCTTTCCACCCAAGTTAAAATGGCTCTTTTTTTCCCTTGCTTCTTCTTCTTCCCAAAAGTTTTGTAATCACTGTTGCAAAATTTTGCCATCTTATCAATTTGCTTTAATATGACTTATGGAAGAGAAAGAAATTTTGGAAAAGTTTAGAATGACCACGTATAAATAGGTTATAAAACAAAATAGATCTAGTATTGATATGTTAAATTAACATCCAATTTATTTGTTTTAAACAAGAGAATAATTTAGATAAATTTTGAAATTGTGTTTTGAGAATGGATTTTGTTTGAAATTATAATAAAAATGATTCATTTTTATTTATTTTACCTAATATTTTTATAATCAATGTGACAAAAGTCATACTTGCTGTAAATAAATGTTTTATGTTAAATAAAAGAATTGAAAAGTTATAATGTGCACTTCTTTTATGTAATAAAAAATATCTCAACTCAATGTAAGTTATTCCAGATAAAATCTATTTTTCTCTATTTCTTCTTTGTAAGATTAGAAGTATGTTGCAAAATTTTATTTTACTAATCACAGTAGTTTGAATATGATTTATAAAACAAAAAAAATTTAGAAACACCTTTAAAACTATTTTTCAAAATAGTTTTTCACAAGATACATAATATTATTGACTGTGATTAGCAATGAATTCTACTTTAAATAATGGAAACAAAATTGCAAAATTTTGTGTTATTTACTGTTTAAAACTTTGCAGTTTTATTAATTTTTCTTAATATAACTTTAATTTAAAAACTTTTAAGAAAAGTTCAGAATTACTCCAACAGAAAAATACAATAAGTACATTTACAGCTGATAACCCATATTCATATTAATTTCTTATTTTCTTCTGTATATTTTTCACGTATATGTTTCACGCATAATATTTCTTGCTCCTTTCTCTTTGTAATTTAACACATAATATTTTAAAATTTTGCTTCATACTACTTTGTATTAATATGTTAAGTATTGTGAAAAATAAATTTTGAAAAGTTTAGAATGATCTATAATAAATCTAATTATTATTATGTAAAAGATTCGTGTAACGAGTCATTTTTGTTAATGTAATTTGTAAAAAGATGAACATTTTGGTAAAGTTAAGGATGATTTTTCATTTAAAAAAGATGTAAGAAGTATTGTTTTAAGTAAACTCTCAAATTAATTTCCGATTTATTTACTTTAAACTTCAAAGAAATATTGGTGATTAAAGCTATACTTTTGAGGAAAGATCAGCATTAGGAATGGAAATATTTTATGAATGATCATTACTATGATCTGGAAAGGATATTTGTATTGACATACACTATTCTATCTTTATCAGAAGAGTGTTTGATTGATGTTTTTCTTTAAAAATACAAGAAATTTTATTAAGTAATGAATAGGAAATTAAACGAGACTCACTTTTCTTTCTCGGATGCTCCATAATCTCCTACGGTGACATGAGATAGTGACCTGACAGCTTCTCCTCCCACTACCGGACTCTGGATCTGAGGATAGGGAGATTGAGGAGGTTGGATGGAGTGCAGCTGTTGGTAGGGTGAGTGAGGAGGTTGAGGAGAAGGTGAGCAGTGAGGCGACACGGCAATCGGAAGCGTTGTCGGTGGAGACATAGGAGCTGGTTCCATCGGAGTCCTGCTGACAGCGGGAGGAGATCCGGGATGGTGGATGACTGCCGTGGTGGTGGCAGCACCGGCTATTACGGGATCAGACACTTCCGGTCGGGGTGTCACGTGACCCGTCGAGAAATCGACTGGTTCCGTCTGTTCGGTTTCCGGGACGGGGTTGGGTGGATACATGGGTTTTGGCGTCACCAGCACTGATGGTCTCTGGCCTCCCGCTGGGACAATCGCTGGATGGGGGCTGAAAAAGAAAATGTATATATTATACATATTATCCATATCGGTCCCTTGAATGTTTTTCTGTTTTCCTTTAGTGTTGCAAGCTAATTGAATGGAGTCTTCAAAAAATATTGATTACATTACTTAAAATTTTTCAAGAAAATTTTACTTCTTTCAACTTATTCGTGCATTTGTGAAGTCTTATAAACATTTATTCAATTCATGTTTATAATAGATTCTTACAATTATAGATCATAGAGTATCAAAGATTCCTAGATCACAATATCAAACTTAATTTCAAATTGATTAATTAATTAATCATTATTAAATAAAATAAAAATAATTTATAATAATTACATAAAAATGATTTAATAACAATAAATCTTTATATAAAATATTATGACAATTTTTTTCGAATTTATAAGTTTTAATACCTTGTATAATAATACGAGATATTAAAACTTTTTACATATAGAAATATTTCATTATAAAGCTATTTTTCATATAACAACGAATCATTAATTATTTTATTACTTACTTTAAAGTTCAGTTGAAATATTACATTATAATATTATAAATAGACAATATTAAAACCAAAATAATGATTGTAACAAGAAAATATTATTATTGTTTTATTTGAGTAGCTAATAATAAATATCATTATCGAAATTATGCCTAAACTACAGTACTTTATGCAGATTCACAAACCTATGTTTCAATACTTCAATGCTTATTTTAGCTATAAAAAAATAAATATTCTATTAATAATATGAACGCTTAAATATTAAAAGTATGCAGTATTTCTATCCTTATTCTGTTTAAGGAACCCGAAGACACACGAAACCAAGTTACGAAACTATTGATATATCGTGAGGAATCATCTTGCAATCTTGAATTTTACTTTGAATAATAAATCTAAGCATAGAAACAGGTAAGCCTATATGACTAAAACAAGCTAAAACTATCATTAGTTCGATAACCGTATTGATATTTGTAACTCTAACAAATATCAATACTAATAATATACAAATGAAGAAGTTTAAACATTACAATCATTAGAATACTTCTTCAATAAAATTTCAATTGATATAGATTCATTTATGATGATGTATTACCTATATTAATAGTGTTTACAATCCTCCCCTTCTGAATAATTAAACTCATATTCTGCTTCAACTCTTTGGGTACCTTTTCCTGCTGCACCCGTTGCTAGCAGTCGCAACTGGGTACGTTTTCTGAAGTCGTATGACACTTGCCGACGCGTGCGGCACCTCAGTGGCACTTAACTGTCTGAAATTCTAAATTATAAGTCTCTCGAAAGCAAACGTGACCCCATGATCGCACTGGGGCACAGTTCCCCTCCTTTCTCATCTTTCTACTCCCAAAGGGAATGCTTTAATTTTTATACGATTACAAACCTGATTTATAAAAGGGATTTGAATCAAAAAATTTTAACTCAAATTTTAATTTTTCATTTTAGCCTGATATAAATACATATTAAAAAATTTTGTTTATTTTTAATTAATTTAATATTATATATATATTTTAAAAGTTGGTTTTTATATACCATTTCATTTAAAGATTTAATGGAATATAATTCGCATCCTTTCTTTAACATACGAAACTGAGATGTATCTGAATATAATTTATTTATAATATTGGATAATTTTATTTATAATATGATTCGTTACAATAATAGAATTATGAATAAAATTTTATTTTATCAAAATAACTCAAAGTTAAAAGAAAGAATTTAAGTTTAACGATTAATATTTTTATAGTATGCTTAGCTTTTTCACATACGAAATTACGTGTTTATATAGAAAAAAACTCAATAGTTTCTTAAAATGGCGATAAAGAAAATCATTAGTTTTATATAATAAATGAAATTAAGAAGAATTTTAAAGTTTCATCCTGAATTTTGTATTTTTAATAAAACTTTTAAGTGCTTATTTCATATAATTAAGCATTATATTAAAATTTTCTATTGCTTTAAAAAAATACAAAATCGAAATCCAAATAACTTACAAAAAAAATAATAAAGTTTAAAAAGTATCTTATCGTGACAATTCACGGTAAATGGAATCTCAACTGACCTGAAAGAACAATTTGCTAACCAACTGCAAGATATTTTTTTTATAAATAGAACATAGAATTTCCTCACGTGAAGCTTTCACTATATTTTATTCTATCTGGTTTCATATGCACAGATTGAAACTTTATCTTAAACGTAAGATACTTGGAAAGGTTTTCGTTATCTTTATCTTAAGAAACAAATAGCGAATTTCCTATCCATCGAGACTAATATTTTATTCTAGACTTTTTTAGATCTAGATTTAGAAGAATTAAAATGATTAAGGATTTTAATTGCATGAGATACAAGTGAAAAATCTCTAAGCTAATTTCAATCAAGTCAATCTAGAATCGAAGTCATCTACACGTATTGTACTTATTTTCCATTCTTTCATAAAATATTCAGTTTAGGAGACTTCAAATAATTTTTAAAAACTGTTTATGAAATTTACATTGTTCTTACTATTATACAATGAAATTATAATGATTTATTTCTGGAAGATTTCAATATAATCCTAATAATAAAAATGCCATATGTACTAATTATAACTTATATTGACCGTTTACAGTTCCAATTCCTTACATAAGATTCTACACAGAAAATTGTAAACACTTATTTTATATAACTAAATATAATTAGAAAGAATTACGTTTCAAATTTTATTATCAATTAATTTATAATCAAATAACAAGAGAATAAGATCAATTGTCAAAATCGAATTACAGACCTACAAAATTTTTTTATCAAAAATAATAATTTTTATCATACAAAATATATTTTTTTATAGATTCATACGAAATAAAAATCAGTATTAAAAATGTACTTCTCAAAAATTAACAAAGACGAGTAATTTCCGAAATAATATTCTTAACATATCTCCACTTTGAACCATGTACTATAAATTTAAATTGGAGAATTGCAATTTTATTTTCTTAAAAATATTTTAAATATTTGGTGAATCTAATTTACAAAATTGTATTTTATATTAAAAATAAATTAATTAACTTATATGAATTTATTTTATTTCATTTTACATTAAAATATTTAAGTATATATATTTTTATATATTATCTAAATATAAACATTTGATACTGCGAAAACTCTGAAATAAAAAATTACAAATGAATTTATAACATTTTTATTTATCTAATATTATATGAATAAGTATAATTACGGAAAGAATATGCTCACTGAATAACTTAATTTTTGTAGAAATAGCATTAAAATATTTAATAAATATTTCTTAATTGTTACTTTCTGGTTTTGTTTAACTTGTTATAGGTTTATAAATAAACAATTTAAAAATTTTTTTCAGACATATCCATGTTACGAGTTAAAACCATATTTATAAATTAACAATTTTTGTGAAGAATGATGTTTGATTGAGAAATTCAAGCTTAATCAATCATCATAAATATTAGAAAAGTTCGATAAAGCTATCCTTCATTATACTAAATCGTAAATATAAAGGTGAGTAAACTCTGGAATGATAAGTCAAATTATTTTCAATTTAATTTTACTGAAATTTATTTATTTTTATGCAATTAATTTTTCTTTATATCATAAAAAACAGCTACAATAATAATAATAACAGTTTTTCTTAAGAAGCTTCTTTAAAACAAATAATAAACTTACGTTTTGAAAACAAGTTGTTTACAGAGTTAGATGAGGATATTCAGTAGATAATTAAAGTTAAATTTTGTCTGCCGTCATCCTAATTAAAACTATATAGATGCTCTAGTACGAAGCGACAAGATTTTCTCAACAACAAAGAGTACAGTATCAGTATTTCAATGGAAAGACAGACAGATGGACAAGTGTATAAATTATTATACATGATATTAATTTGTTCTTACAAATTCCAATTTAAAATTGCGTTTAAAAAGAAAAAGAAAGTAAATTATAATGAAGCGAGAAAAGAGAACGATATTAAAATTAAAACTTAACTTTTATGTTAATTTTCTTTTTGTAATAGTCGAATTTTTATTTTAAATAACGCCAGTTTTTCGTCTTATAAATTGCAAATATTTATGGTTTTATTGAATATAAAAGCAATTGATTTTCTTAATTGTTTTTAAATTAGTTAATGAAAACTATTTTATATTGTATATATAAAGTTGTAACAAAACTCTAAAGACAATTTTACATGTAAATTTCTCATAAATAAAAAGAAGAAAATTTACGCGAAGATTTAGTTTAGTTCCAGAATCTCTCCACGAGGGCGCCACTTGTATCTATGTATTGTTGCAGATAGGCAACTCATCTACAGTCATAATTTCACAAACATACACAACATTATTGTAGTCTCAAATTGTAAAAAAATAAATTAATTCGCATAAATTTTCTTGTCGTTCAGTGTGAGAATTTCACTTATAAGATTTGCCGTTGAAGTTTTGTTACACATTTTATGCTAATTAAACTGTGTTGTTGTAGTTATATTTTTTTATAATATCAAAATAATAATATTTAAACGTTAATAAATATCGTGCAAACAACAAATATCTGTAACAAATGATCTTTTAACGCCAAGCTTTAAAATCGTGCAAGATAGTAACTGAACTGAAAAGGAGGAAACAAAAGTAGAGCAATGTAACAAAAATAAAAAGAGGAAAGCAAGCAAAACATTCATAACAAACAAGATGCTGGCATACAGTTTTACATCACCAGACTATAGAATGCAGAAAGGGGTGTAAATATAGCAGCTTTTACCTAGATGGAACACCGACAACTCTGTTGACACTAAGATCCAACGACTGTAAGGTCACCGTGCGGTTTCCTGTTGCCGACAAGTCAATGACTGGCTCCAAATTTTTGGTTGACAAGTTGATGGCTGCTGGAATCTGAGGTTCGTACTGGTACTCCTGCCTATAGGTCAAAGTTCGAGACAAAAAGTCAGCGCAAAGCTCTTTACTTTCGCAAACCGCGCGACGTCCTGATTAACGTTTATGCAACGCTACTTCCCCATTTCTCCCTCTCTAAACTTCTGTTAAATGTTAAATAAATAAAATTCGAAATTTATATTTTCGGAATATCCTACATCTAAATTGCAATTCTCGTTGTTTTAACAGTATATTACTCGCCTAAAAGAATTATTGAAACCTGACATACAAAAAAGATTCATAATTAAATTTATAGAAAAAAATTAAAAAAGGTATTTCACCTTTTATATATTGTATAAACGTAAACATGCAGCTGAAAGTGCTAAGCTACATACAAAAACCTGAGACATACCTGAAACAAAAAAAAATTAAGCATGGAAAAAGCGTACCTGCCAATTTAAAAAGTGCGACTAAGCTAGTTGAAAAAGCTGGTGCAAGCAGTAAAATTTTACAGAAGAAATACAAAATTTAACCTTAAAAACAATTGATATTTACATTGTATATACCTAGACTAATTTTTAAATTAATGAAAATATAAGGCATCAATAATTTACTTGAGTATCAACCCATGATGCAAATATTCGAGTCATAGATTTCCTGAGTCAGCGCACGACGCGATCGTCGCATCGCTACCTTTAACACACTTTATTGATGCCAAATATAAAAAGATGATCAATTTATGAAAGGCTACTAAAATGTTAATCAAATAAATTATTGCTTACTTATACGTTGTCCCTTGTTTGGAATGCATACTAGGTTCTCTTTCCATAACTTCTGTCGTTTTGGGTTTGGGTGCGATAGGTCGATTATAATATTTATGTACATCGTAACCATAATCGGAAGGAGGTGGCTTGCTATACTTCTCTAATTCTTTAGCTAGCTGTGTCCTGGGTGTCGGCGTGGATACGTATCCTGGATATTTATAATCTTGAAGATCCAGCTGTTTAACGTAACACATGGGCCTCAATACTCGATCTGACGAATTCGATCCTATGGGATGGAGCCATTATTAGAAGTTTTAGAAACTTATAAACATGTACTGTAGAATAGGCTGACATATCGTAAATTTTAGTCGTTATTGCCAGAGAGAGATGGCACCACGAGGTTTATCGATTTTATTTTCTCTTTAATTACGTAGGCTTCGACAAAATTTCGATATGCTAATAATATGTTTGGCGAGAAATATTGAAATTAAAGTTATTTAAAATAAAAAAGATAATTATACACTCTTCGGTGCTTTTTCGAACAGTAATACAACTTTAAACAGCAGAAAAATTATTCTAATTTGAGCTCTAACCGCAATATTACCCTAGGGAATCTTCCAAAAATCTTTTTTCTTTATTTAGATAGATTAATGTTAGATAAGTTTAAGAAAATCAATAAATGAATTGCAATCCTTGTTTTCTCTGTTAGTGAATATGTTAATGCTTTATAAACTATTGCAGTAAATGCATGGGGTACGACTGAACTAAATATTTATTCAAAATAAACATCAACTAATGACCAATGCTTAATATCTTTAAAAGTGCGAAAGACATTGATTATTATGGTTTAATATTATTTATTTATATATTCTATGAAATTTTTTATTCCGTCAACATTTTTATTCCTCTAATAATTAAAATTTGGTAGCAGGCGATTTCTTATAAAGATACGCTTGGTTATTCGATCTCGATATTAACCGCAGGCAAAAGTTATTTATCAATAAGTGTCTAATCATGATCATTATATAATTCGTGAAAGATCGCATTTAACAAATACAAATAAATAACTACAGTAGAGCGTCGATTTTCCGAATCAATTGGGGACTGGGGTGGTCCGGATAACTGATATTTCGGATAACTGATTTACGTACGAAAAAACAGTTTAACGTATCCGATGTCGAAATTTTTCTCCGTTGCGTGTCGCTTCGCGTTGAATTTTCGTCGATGTTAAGCCTAACAAAGACTATTGTATCGTTAAAAATTATTTTTTTATTTTGTACAAACAAAATAAATATATTGAAAAATATAAAAA